GCGTTTGGCACAGCGAATGCCAACCACTATGTTTGTTTTGGTTTGGTCTGGCATGAAATCTCTAAGAGAGAACGCCGTTGCAGGCAACAAACATTTGGCGCGCAGGAAAGGACTTGGTAGCAGCGACCTTCTTTTGAATCTAACACGCCCAATCCCTGGGATTAACAGCAAATAGATTTTGGCGGGTGATTGATAGGAAACTCAACAAAAAAAGAAACTGGTCAGTTATTGTAACATGTGGTTGCTGCAAACTCGCGTTTCAACTTCTGGAATGTAGAATCGCCACATCGCCAGTGAGATTTGGAACCACAAAATGCTCAGAAGTCATCGATTTGAGAATCTCGATGTCGAGCCTGGCCAGTGCATTCTTGCTTTGAACCATCCACCAGTTGGCTGGAGCGCAGGAGTGAAAGAAACTCGAATCCGGAAGGGCAAAAGCATGAACAGTTTTCTCTACAACATGATTTGCAACTGTAGGACCACCCAATCAGTCTTCACCCACAAACCTTTCAGCACACCATTCATTGCCTCATAGCAGCAAAATAGCCTCATACGTCGTGAGCTGGGTACCTAGAACGCCATTCATGAAGCTTGTCTGTCTTCTAAAGAAGGGCACTGCTTGCGCTTCACGCCGGACTACCAGTGACTACCAGTGATACCAAGGCCACATGCGCACAACAACCCTTTTCAGCCGCGCAGTCACCTTCGCGTCGTGGTGAGCGGAGAACGCGAGAAACATTATTTCACAGGCACAGGAGCGTCCACACTCTTCGGCACCTCCTCTTCGCCGCCTTCCGCTCCTTCCTCTACAGGTTCCTCTTCCGCTCCTTCCCCTACAGGTTCCTCCTCCTGTGGTTCACTCTGTTTCTGTGATTCTTCAGCCGTATTGGCCAAGATCTTACTCAGGACCGCTTGCTTCATCTCAGACTTAGAGCACGCAGTCAGGCGCATGCATTCTAAAACCAAATGAGTCAAAAAAAGAGAACGGAAAGATTGCACTCAGCGGTTAAATTTCAAAAGGCGTGTTTACGCTAAGTTGCCACCATGGTCTTCACTTTCTCGAGCGAGGTGCCCTTTTTCAACTCATCGTATGCTACATCCTTGATGAAAAGAACACTCTAAGGCCAACCAAGAAAGTTCGCTGCCAGTTCAATTTCAGATTCAGAGCACATGCTAAAGTGACTCCAGGGAACAATGATCTCTTTTGACTTCTCCATGGGAATCTTCACGCTACCTACCTCAGATCCGTGATTATGACAGTCCTGGGAACTGGAACCAGGAAACCATAAACAAAGTTGCTGAACTGCACTGTGTTTCATCGTTTTGCAAGCAGGAAACACTGACAATTTCCTTCTTCCCTCTCTTGATGCCCCAGCGGTTCGACTTTGTATAGGGGGTCGGCTTGTACAGCGTACCGCTCGTCTCTTGGTCTTCAGGTCTCTCTCCTTTTTCGTTTTCGTTTGGTGGTTTTGTCTCACTCTTCCCAGGTGTGGTAGCTGCTGGAGCTGCAGCAGGCTTCTTTCGAGGTAGCACCTTGGCAACACCCTCGGCCTTGGCCTTGGCCTGGCTCTTGGGCACGGGAACCTCCGATGGTTCTTCTGCGCTGGGTTTCGGATCTCGTTTTGATCGTTTTGCATCCGAATCAGCTTCTGTCTGGTCCTGGTCAATTCCATTGCCTGCGCCGGTCACACACACACATTACAAACTAGAATCAGCCTGTGGCTGAATGGAAATCCAACTACAATCAACTTTACACGCCTCGAAGACAAGCTGATGGCCGCTTTCTCAAAGCGGGCTTGCGATGCACAGTGTCTTGTGGCTCCTGGGGGTCCTGCAGCAAACCACTGTGCGTCAACAACCAACATACTATCCGGCAACACAACACACATCTCATGACGTCGCACCACATGTCCAATGATTTACAACGAAGCGGCCCGCGTCCTCCGTACCCGAGCTTGCAGTTAAATCAGCTTCACCAACAACACTGAGAACAGGCATGGCTTGGCAACAGTTTAAACCCTGACTGGCTACCTTTGCTTGCAAACCTTTGCAAAGCCGGCCCATTCGCTGTCAAGCAGGTTATCACAACTAAGCACAACCGTGTATGTTTGAGCATCCACATCACAATTCAATATTTTTGAACTGCCGGCCACTTGTGTTGTAAGTTGTCGCTATTGGCAGCCGATGCTGCTTTGGAGATGTCACAGCCTCTATCCTCACATACCAAAATCGAAGTGACAAAATTCACTTGTTCAAAAAACAACACGGTGATTTAACCATCAAAGGCCCTGCCACTTCGCGCTCAAGTGCGAGGAATGAAGCACGGTTCACACAGTGGCCGCGGCTGTTAAGTCAACGCACGATACAGCTGGAACCTTCAGAGTGGCCAGCAAATAAAACTTTGGCTTCAGTGGCATAACCTTTGGCGGACTTGACATGGATTGGACCTGAGAAAGCCAAAAGCTTTACGGAGAATTCCCACAAAAAACTGTTCAGCACTCACAGAACACCGTCACCCAGCAGTCAGAACATTCATTGAGCGTGGCACCTCCCACATGACAGAAGCCACAGGATTTCTGGGGACCTTCTGAAAGTTGTTCGCGAACAATCCACCGAACGTGGCCTTCTTGACCTCCGCCCCGTCTCCCAAGGCGTTGGGCTTGAAAATGCAAGTCTTCTGAGACGTCAGCGAAGAAAGCTCCCACCTGTCCAGAACGATTGCTTTTCGAAGAACGCACGCATAAACAAGCAGGGGGCATCTCATCAAAGCAGAACGGTAGTCTCTAAGCTCTTGCCTGAAATTGACTGGCAAGGCCTCCGAATCAGCCTCAATGCAAACACCATTTAACAGTGATCAGGCAAGCATATCGCTTTAAGTGTTGTCAAAAAACGGATGGAGCAGGGTGCATCTTCGGCGTCATCGCGTGGTACTCCACATTCATGTCTGCAAGGCCATTCTCCACAGTCAACTTCCGAAGAAGCTCGCACAATGCCATTGGCTCTTTCTCAAAAACCACGAGGGCTCGGTCTGAACTCAACCTCCAGGCAAGTCCATTTGTCTCCTCTGCTTCACCTGAGATTGCGATGGCAAGGGGACACTTCGAAAAAATATATCACCGGTGAATACTGGTGACAGACCCAAAACCATGCAAACTGGAGGCAAACATCAAGGGAAAACAAATTGAATCCTGAACTGGTCGAAGCACGTGTAACCACTTGTGTGTTGTAGGACCCCGTCCCAAAGCCAAACAATTCTCCAGCCGTGACCTCCATCTCCTCATTGCTGCTGTTGACGAGCCAAAGGTGAAAGTCCTTGTCCAACGCCAGCGTCGGCTTCCCCGCCCGGCCAGGAAGCGCACCAAGCCTGGTCAATCACTGGAAAGTTCAAGCAACCTGCAAGTGTATATTAAAGAAACACATATAATAATAAGCCCGAAATTCGAAGAAGTCTCCTTGCTTTTCAAATTATACTCCAACACAGAAGGAGAAAAAATCCTTGCCCTGCAACTTGGCGAGCCTCTCTCCGGTGAAGCTTGCCACTGGGATCGCGGTGAGATTCACAGTGCGAGACGTGTCCAGGGGCTTCAAACCTTCATCGACAGTGTAATCGCAAACACCATGCGCGCGGCTGGGGGTGGTAGTCCTGGCGGTAGGGTCGCCAGCTTCACCAAACTCCTCCAAAAATTGCTTTTGCAGCTGCTTGACCTCCTCTTGCTCCGGCGAATCATTCTGGAAGCGTCCCAGGAGAACTGACAGTGGAAAAGTTGGTTTGCCACGCGTGAGGGCAACCAAGCTCAACCCCATAGTTTCTGCGGTAGGCGCAGCTGTGGATGTAGGGGGTCTTTCCTTCGGCGGTGAATCCGCATTGTTGTCCTCGCATGGGTACACATGGTTCAGGAACCGAATGCTCATTGCGAGATTAAAAGTCTTAAGTCTGCAAAGAAAAACTAAACTACACTGCATACAAACAAGTCTCCCAATGATCATAGATCCGGCTCTCCAAGGTCGATCTCAGCTCGGTCAACTTGTCCTCCTTCACCAAGCCCACGTACTGCATGGCAACCTTGGAGCGCGCCGCACCATCCAGCAAATTCTCCAGGGCAGCACGCGCAAACTCTGCTAACCTCAAATTGGAGAGGAACCCCCGGCATCCAAAACTGTACGCCAACATTGTACAAGCAGCTGCGCACATACATAGTTGATGACTGATCACTTATAAAATGTACTTACATACCCTGCCTGTTCGGGATGATGTCGAACCAAACAACTTTGTCGGTCGGCTTCACGTCAATGCCCGTGAGAACCCCCTGCATCAATTCGCCAGCACAAGGAACTCCTCTCCTGACATGGAAGGGCCAACAAGAAGGCTTAGCTTCAGATTCAGCCTCCAGATTAGGGGTGACCAAGCAAGCAATCAACTAAAAAGCGCTAACTACAGCAAAGCTTCTGCTCTACCCGAGCGCTCGCTGAATCTCATCATACCCAACCATGTCTGAGATTTTGATCAACGGATAGGGTCCCACACGGCCAGAAGTCACAGTTTCGCTCTCTTGCCAACTGGATTCCGAATAGCTTGTGTGAAGGGTAAGTACACAAACTTGGGACATAGGTCGGCCGTCCCTGCTTGTGGAGTCTGGCTTGTTGTAGAGCACTGCAACCTCCTGACCATACGACATGTTGTTTTTGATGAGGTAATCCTCAATGGTTCTGCGATGTTTGATCCTGGCGACATCCGTTGTCTGCTTTTGAAGCACTGGCAGCATGATGAACCCACAGTGACACGGGCTCATCGCTGTGACGGAGCTCAGAACCCCAAAGGCATTCTTCACGTAGTTGGCACCTGCCGGGTACAGAGTCATATCCATTGCAGCAACGCAATACCTCGGCCAAGCTAAACCAGAGATGTAAACATCTACACTCAACCGCTGGTAGACAGGGATGTTGCGGTTGAGTTTGCAAAGAAGTAGTTCGTGGCAAACATACAACTTGAAAAGAAAACAGTCTCGCAAGCTGAGGGTGAGTTCCGTTCTATGGGCTTAAAGGTGGGCAGGGGTGTTCTATTGGGAAACTGCAGAGGGCGTAGAGACACCAATGGTCTCAATGTCTAGGCGCAAAGAGCCCGCAATGCCTCGCCATTGCTCAATATATTGAAGGAACGCCGGCATGGCTGTGTTCATGTCTTCTGACACCGGGATCAGCAACACATTCTTAGCCATGAAGTCTTCTGCATACTTGCGCCCTTTCCTCAGCGCAGGTTGGGTTGCCCAAGGGGTGTTTGGGCCAAGGCAAGTTGAGATCCCACACCAAGGGCCTCTCAGTTACAAGGCCCTTTCAAAGTTTTCTGGTTTTAGTTGGCTTCAACAACGGCCACTCACTCAGAAAAAAATTTCCCAGTGAACTGGTATGCGCAGTCAAGCAAACAGTAAAAACAACTTTTCTTGTCCGAAGATCATTTGCCGGTCCTTCAAATATTTCAAATCGAGCGCGTGCTCTGCAGCCACATGCGACTTCCCTGGCAACTTCGCCCTGAGAATCTCAATGTCCGCAGCGATCATAGCTTTCACGTGAGCTAGATTTGCTGTGGCCACCTGCTTCTCTAGCTCCTTCGCTTGGTTCTCCCTGTCCTCCACCTTGCCCTTCTCAATCTTCATGGCAAAAGGCCTTCTGAATGAGAGTCTTGGGTTTGTCACTAGCCCTTGGTGACTTTAAAGCTATGAACCAACTTTGAGTGGATTTTCAATACAGGTTCCTCATGTATTGGTCTTGCCAACACTAGTACACCCTCATGTAGCCAACAAGGAGTGTTTAAACACGCCTCATGGCGCCGACCGAAAGCAGCTCCGCATTGGCTGGCACTTGCTGGTCGACACAATGCAGTAGGTCAGCGTCCAGCAGCCCACACTTGAATTGGTTCAGTAGATCATTGCGCATGCCCTCAAACTCTTTCTCTGGAGCAATGCTCTGAAGCTTGGCCATCATAAACAGGAAGACTCCGCAAGACTGGTGCACCTTGATTGCATCCTTGAAGCTGACAGCCTTTCTCAAAGGCGCCGGCGTGTTGTCGTGATCGCCAGCCAAGCGAGCCAGGTAGAGCTTTACCTCGGCACGCTAAGATTCCAGATTCCAGGACAGGTTGACATGAAAGGATATAAAAACGAAAGGTGTCATAAGTCCTTTCAACCTCTGCTGGTTCCTTTGCCCTAATCTCGCAACCCAGAAGTGCAACAGATTCAATCAGAAAATGAAACCACCAAACTATGGTTTTGACGTGGAACAAACTAGCCTAGTGGCCAACTGCAAGTCGCCGGGGAGGTTTGTGAGTGCTTCACTCCAGCTCTCTGCTGGGCCAATGCCGCTGGAAAATCCAGTTGAGAAAGTGCCTTTCCCGATCACATCGTGATTCAAAAACCTGCTCATGCCTCGCGTTGTCACAAGCTGCTGAAGCTCGGAGCAAATTGGTTCAGGAACTGCAGTTGCTAAGGCGAACAGCGCATCACTTTCCTGCTTGCCAATCTGGAAAGCTTTTGCCATCCCTGCTGAATTCTTCCAGTCCTACAAAAACAAATAACAAACATAGTAAGTCCACCATCAGTGGGGGGATGTCTGAGCATCTTATAGAACATGCGCAAGTACTCCTTTCAACAAAACATCGATCCTTCAGCTGCGAATCTGCCGACCCCATTCCAGCATTCTTCAGAACTCTAACCTGCCGTAGCAGGTTGAAGCAATGAGGGGCTCGGCGTGTTGCGTGGTTCGCGATTTGCGCACCTTGCCGGCGACAAAAGCTAGAATTCACCCGATATCACAAAGTCGTTCAATGGAAATTGTCCACTTTATCGCTGAATGAAGGAAACAATGATAACCGTCGCGGGCGCTACAAAAACTCGCCTCTGTTGGCCATCACTTGGCTACGAACGTCCTTGAACTGGCCAAACGATACGTGGATGGTTCCCATCGAAGCCTCAAGAACTACCGACGCACCACTGCTGAAACAAAGACCACAACATAAAATTGCGTAATTTACTGAAATCACAACCTAACTTCCACACCTGACATCGGGTTCCTTTGGGCCTTTCTTAGCGTGTCCAACAACAATCCATACACAAACCGACACCGAGTTTCCAAAGTAGCACGCAGCTAAAACGATCAATCTCCAATGGTGAGAAGCCCCTTGTTTCTCTTCGGACCTACCCCAACTATATCAGCAATCTAGCAACTCTGACGAATTGTGGCACTGCATCTGATAGCTCCAATGTTTTGATACCTTCCAATGCTATGAGAAGTACCAGGCATCGTTTGTAGCCTTTGATATAGCCGACCGAGAAGGGTCTGAGCAAATGGCCTCACTGAGCGAGCAACATACTTCCAAGGTTCCGCACTAAGAAAGAACGCTTGCACACTTATGGAGTCTGATCACATGGCAGCTGATGGGGTGGCTCAGCGACTGCGTGTACATTAAAAATAACCAAGGTGCCATAAGGTTCCAAAGGCGCACACTCATGGTAGGGTTTCTCTAAGAATTCTCGCGAAACATCAGTGGCAGCCACCTTTCCAATACCAACAGAGTTGGCGTCGGAGAGAAACCTGGGACGGGGAGCTGTGCGTTAGTTAAACACTTCAAACAACAGAGGCCAGCATGATACAGTCCAAGAACCCTTCCGTGCAAATCAACTCGATCAGGTTTGTGGCTACATCAGGCTCCACCATGGCGCTTAAGGAAAAGTCGCTCCTCCAGCCACACTGCCATGGCCTGATGACACCAGGCTTGGTCTTGTCCACGCAATATGAAAACCTTCAGCAATGGCTGTGGGAATGGGACGACTGATTATGGTAAACACAAGTCTCAACAACAACTGGCTGTCATTGTTTGACATATATACATTCAAGGCCCTGGCGAACCATCTGCTGGGCAAAAGTCGTCTATCCACTTGGCGAAGCTCAACAGGCCAGCCTCGTGATAGTCACGCGCGCTGTGCAACCGTCACAACCAACATAGGCTTGGGTTGGCCAAGGACGGGGCCATGGGGCCCGCATTTCTTGCATCATGGCCCCGTCCTTGGCCAACCCAAGAGGAAAATTGCCAGCCAAAACATGGTTAGAACTGCGAAAAACTCACCACAAATCAATACAAGCAGGCCAATTCCAATCTGCCTCATCTGCATACTTGCTGGTCAGGTATGCTGCGGGCCCACCATTCGACAAAACCGTTTCGTCATACCTGGGAAACTGGAATGACATCGACAAACCACCAGGCTTCAATACTGCCTTCATTACCACCATGTTCAACCAACGAGGGGCCACGCTGTCAGCTGTCGAATCCACTGAGACTTGTCAGAGTCGCCTCCATCAGGCAACTTCGCAGCCTTGGCCTTGGCATCGCTGCCACTGGCTGATTTCCTCTTCTTTGGCACCATTCGTGAAATGCGACCGAATGCCACCCGGCGCGAGCCAAAACCCTGGACGATCAACCCTGCACTGCAAAAACAAACTAACAGAATGCAAGCTACTATCGTTGCAAGCTCCCACACTGCAGCATTAAGAACACACGACAGAAGTTGATGGAAGGCCTTGAAAAATTTGAAAGGCGTCGATAAGTACATCCACAAAAATCCGTCACAGAAGAATCCGTCACAAAAAAATCCGACACTCCGACATCCGACACTTGGAAATCCGTCACTCAACCATCTCGCAACATTACTTTTTCTGAGGTCGCTAAGAAAAGTCCAAATTAGTGTCTGATCTGAGGTGAGATCCGTCACTCCGGGATCCGACACTGAGGTTCTGAAGCTAAATCAAAAATTGACTTCTAAACAAAAAAACGATGGAATCCGTCACTCCCAGCATGTTTGCCAGAGCCATCAATCAGTGACTGATCCGAGGTGGGATCGGTCACTGAGTCCATCCTCCATGGTTTTTCCCATAACCGTAGATTTTTTCAATAGATTGAAAATGTTGGAAAACAACACCTCAGTGACCAATCCCAGGTGAGATCCGTCACTACTAGCAAACTCAAAGCCTTGCTACCACAGTGACTGCTTTCTGGGGGGGGGGCATCCGGTCCAGACATGCGGTTGCAAAGTGAATTGCCGCTCCCCATTTTTCTCAAACCTGAACGTTTAGGGTTTAGGGTTCCGCAAAATTAGGGTGGACGATCATAACATCTCACTCCCAAGAGCAGTGCAAAGTAATGAGTTCTCAAAACAAAAATATCAACTATAGTAACCATACATAAACTAATATCAACCCTTGCCTTTCCGCTTGCCTTTACCTTTGCCTTTGCCCTTCCCCTTGTGGGGATAGGCTTTCTCTAATGCCTTTGTGGCAAGCTGCTTGGCCTCTGGCCAGGGAACGCCTTCAGCCCAAATCTTGGCTGCAGCTTGAAATATCGCTCGTTCCAAGTATGCCCGCGCGGCTTTCCGGTATTGGTCAGGAAGTCGAAGCCTTCAAGCTTGGGGAACATCGGTCGAAACAACCTACAACAACCTGCAAGTCGAAACCGCTTGGCGGAACACAGTTGCAACATTTGGCAAAGCCATTGCATACAAGAAACTCCAATCGGTTGGGCACCACTTCGAAGGTAGCGGTCCTGACATGCTAGCTACTAAACTCCTACGTACAAGTCACACAACCATCATGCCATGAAATGATCAATCGCGGCAGCTCCCATCCTGGAAAACAAGTCTGAATGATCGTGGGAGTCACCCCGGCTGCGTCGAAGCCGAATCCTTGCAATTTCAAGTGCGGTGAGCTTGGCAAAACTCACGTCACATCTCAACTCACACACAATGAACTTGGGGCGGTTGTCTTGGATATCGGTACACACTGCATGATTCAATGCCAAAGCACTCTGAGAGTTCGAGTGGAGGTTGCAAAGAGAGCGTCCCCTGCAGCCAGCTCTCTAGATAGTCTGCGGCCCTGCTCAAATTAAACTCCGGCTCCCACATGGCAGGAAGGTACTTCATCACATGCTCTTGGTACTCTGCAGAGATTGGGTTGCGGGCAGCCATGACTGGCAAACAACATGTCTCCAAACTGCGCGTTTGGTGCTTTGCTCACTGTTTCCGGAAACAAAAATGTTATTTCCGAAATTACCCAAATCCCTTTGTTCAGCGTCCTACGTGACAAGTCCTGGCCCCCCAAGAGTTGAAACCTAAAAAACATATTCTCACCATCAAGCTGGTGTAGAGAACCCACTCATTACAAGTCCAAATCCAAAAGACGGCCTGCGGGCAGCCCCACAGGCAAGTGATGCAAAGCCCAAATGCGAGGCAAAAACAAGAACTTGTGCGAGAAGTCAGCAGAATGCATCCATTGGCTTGTCCTGAACTGGGCGTTTCGGTGTCTGGAAGTCAACTGGCAATGTCAAATGAAGCTCGTGTTTGGCAAAAAGTATGGGTTGAACAGTGAGGTCCCAGGAGAAATCCTCAGGATCACGTCATGGGGATGCTGTTCAGCTCGCCAAAACGCATTCAGTTCTTCACCATCACGGAGGCCTGCCAGCCAGGACAACATTGAGAAAACATGATCAAATAGCAAGTTCAAGCTGTTGCCTGCGTCTACCCTCCTGCAAAAGTCCATCAGGTGCGGTGCTCCCGGGCCCCCAATTCCCTTTAAAGCCACTGGCAATGATTCGGCTAGCCATCCGCGCCTCAACCAAACAAGCAGTGCGTGACATATGGGAACACATGAGGCCTTTGCAATTTTTCCTGTAGGTTTAAGTTTAAGCCAAAGAAGGAAACTTCTCAAATTCGTTCAGGTCACCAGTCGCGAGTGTGGTCTAGCTTCTTGACAAATCGCACCGGTTCGTAAGGTCTGTCAACGGATTTGCAAAAGTGTTCAAGGCCAGTGATGAAGTCAGACGAAGTCAATGCTACGCGGATATTGTTTCTGACATACGCTGCTAACTGCCCGAAAAGCTGGTCAATGTCTTCGTGGCTGTGTCCTGTGCGTAAGAAACTGAGTCGGCCAGATTGTATTACAGAGTCCGACACGAGGCTGCTCATGAGGCGCATCCCTGCAGGCAGACAAATCCACACCAGAGCGAGAGAGTTCATGAAGAACGTGTGCAAATATCTCACAGGATGTGTTCGAGTCTTTTGCGACGTCCGACTCAGACAGGTATATGGCAACAAAGCGTCCGTGGCAGATTACCGCTGCGAGATGTAACCGTGGGCGGTTCATGGATTCAAACAGCTTGGCACGCATGAGAGCGCTTCTTGGCACGGTAAATTTGCTCTGATCCATGCCGTCCTGGATCAACACGATCTCAAGGCCCCGGGAACGTGCCACGCCACGAGCCCGCCAGTAACAGCAACGGTCCATTGTAAATGCTTGTAGAGCAATTGCTGTTGAACTCTTCGGGCGGACAGGTGGTGGCCCAGGCCTTGTATAATTGTTTTGTGCTTAGTGCACTCCGAGCATTGCGCGTGGCTTGAAGATGCTCTGAACTTCATAAAGCTATAGTGCGAAGCCCAAACCTCAACAGGTAACGATGTTCTTTTAAGACTCTACACCGAAACGGTTCATGAAGCAGCTTGTGTTCGAGTCATTTGCAAGATCAAACCCCTGGTGAAAATATGTTGAACCATTTGTTGACTAAGACTAGCTAGTTGGTTTCTCATCTTGCCATGGAGACTCTAAGCAGCAAAACAATACGCTGCACAACTGCACAACCAACCCAAATATAATAGGCATGTCAAGGAACTCGCCAAAAAGTTGTAAAGGATGCCACACGTGCACTTGAGGACTGGCTTTTGTATTGGATCCAGTATTCTTTGAATGTGCCGTCTGGCAGAAACTTCTCTTCACACCCGTCAGCTACCGATCTTCCTGCGCAAACCTCAACACCGCGGTGGTGTTTCTTTTGTTTGGGTTTGTGCTCTGAAGTCTTCGGAGGTTCTTTGGAAGCATCGCCGGCAAAACTCAAATCAATTGATGGGCCCTCGTCTGAGAGAATGCCATCCCAAGACTCGTCTCTGACATCGGGGAGGTTCTCCGCGATTGACTGATACACGTTTTCTAAGAAAGACATGCAACCAGCCACAACTTCAGGACAGCTGTCCCGTCCAAATGAAGGTTTCTTCTCAAACCGCAAGTCTACCGGTGGCTTCGGCTGATTGTTCCGCACTGCTGAGAGAAGCTTTGTAAATCTGCGATTTCCTGAAGCTTTGACTAAGAGCGTAGCATAAGTAGAGTTATTTCCCTATTTCTGAACAAGTTCAGCCGCAAATCACACAGAAAATTATCTAATTGTGAATCCAGGATCCTAGGCTGTGCAAAGACTTGAAGCATCGCAAACACACTGGCTTTGACAAGAACTTCCATTGTGTTCGGGAGCCAGCCTCTTGGTCGCTGGTTTGCACAATCTCTTGGATACGTTGGAATGCCTGGGAAGTGGGGACCGGGCTCAAGTTAGACTAGTTCCGAACAAATATCTCAAAGTAGCGCTCAAGAAACCGTCTGAAAAACCATTGACTTGACGCATAGTACAAGCTACAACTTCGTCCTGATCGGTTTTGTGAAGTTCGTTCCACTCCTTTCTAAACTGAATCAGCTCCTGTTGGGAAGCTTTCCCTCGAAACTGTTCCCTGCAATTGCCCTTGCATTTGGAAGCCTTGGAGAGCATGGACTGGATTGCAACCACATCATCAACAGGCGGCTTTTTTCGCAACGGCCTTGATTTGTTTCGCGCGCGTTTTCTGCCGGCACTTGGAGGCGGGACAGCTTCTTCTGAAGAGCTCTCGGTCAATGTGGTGACCGGTGGAACAAAACATGCCTCGTCACCCATGAGCAGCTTGTAAGCTGTGCTAGTTCTATATACCAAGTGAACGGTGTAAGAGGCTTCAGATCCTATGGGTTCAAACATGTTCAAACAGTGCGATGACATCTCAAGTGAATCTCGATTCCTACCCGCACACAAAAACAATGCTTGTGCTTATCTACCCATCTCAAACAAACATTGCTTCGCGCGACACAAATAACTTGGAAGCAAGCGAATCAATGAGGAAACCTTGTCCAGAACAAAATGCAATCAAAAACATATCAAAACAACAACCGCATAGACCTTTGATTTTCCGGCCAACCTTGCACTCAGTGTGGATTCACGCGCGCCGCAAAAATGGTTGCTTGCCAACCACTTACTGTCACAGGCACACGCATTCACACAATCAATGCTCTCAATTTGCAAAGCTGCGAAACAGCCTGAATTGGATCTAATTGGTGTTTTGGCTCCGTTTCTATCATTGAGCTGGCGGTGGAAAAAGGCAACTACTATTCACAGTCAAAAGCACATCAAACCATTGAAAAAAATATGGTGTCAAGAATCTCCTAAGGCTGAGGAGCCAAAATCATCTGGTGCAAAATGTGTCCAGCCAATTGCGCACACGGTGGTACGACAACGTTGCCGAGGATTCTC